GTGCCCTCCCAGCAATAAAGAGAGAGTTTTCTCACTTTTTTAGTTCATGCAAGAGCTGGTTTTAAAGAGCATGGGCACCCCTGATTCTTTCTCTCTTGCTCCTTCTCTCACTTTATGACACATCTGCTCCCCCTTCACCTTCTGCCTTGACAGCTCCCTGTAACCATCACCTGGAGCAGACAGACGCTGGTGCCATGCTTTTTGTACAGCCTACAGAACTGTGAGCCAAATACACCTCTTTATAAATTACCCAGCCTCAGGTGTTCCTTTATAGCAATACAAACCAAAATAAGACAGTGGGAGGAGGCGGCTCAGAAGAACAGAAGCAGGGCTCTTCGGAGCCTGCACTTCTCTGCCTTATCTGGGATACACCTCTACACTGAGCTGACCACAGACGAGTCCGACTAGGAAGTTTCTGCATTACCTGGAAGAAATCAGTATGGTAATATTGACATCAGGCCCTCCTAGGAGTGAAGAAATCATAAAAACGTAAGGGAAGAAGGGGAAGTTTAGATATCTAGAGCATTTCTCCTTTCCTTCTCTTGCTCATATCTCATTTTGGGACTGGGAGTAGCTTCTAGGAAGGCATCTTTGGCCCTGGAGAACTTAAAGGAACCAGACTGGATCCCAAAGGAGAATCAGCAGAAAGTTTTAGCTTTAGTTCTACTCAAGACCTGGAGAACAGCCACAAAGAGAACCTACTTAAACGGTCCAATCTAGTTCTCTAGAAAGTTGTGCAGACTTTCTTGGCAGGAGGACTGTCTTGGAGAGATCAGCTTGAATCTTTGGCATAAGTGTCCTCTATCTCATGAGAACCAGAAAGTGACAGACTGGGCACAAATGGGCAAAGCCCAACACGGTCAAGCATTCCCTCTGGGGCCTCGCTGGGCAAGAGTTCTGATTTTTTCAATGACCCCCAAAGATCCAATTACACAGAACAAGGCCAGGCCCAAGTGAATTGTCTATCATTCCATCTTTGTTCCATTCCTATCTCCTTTTTTCCTTAGTATCTCATGCCACAAGACTAAACCCTGTATTGTGTAAAGAAGATGGGATGTTGCTGAAGCTCTCTTGCTGGGGTCAGCTCAGCCAACATCGCTCATTGTCTCAATGAAGTCTACCAATTTTCTTTTATTTTTAGAGACAGAGTCTCACTGTGTCGCCCTCAGTAGAGTGCTGTGGCATCACAACTCACAGCAACCTCCAGCTCTTGGGCTCAGGAGATTCTCTTGCCTCAGCCTCCTGAGTAGCTGGGACTACAGGCACCCGCCACAATGCCCAGCTATTTTTTGTTGCAGTTTGGCTGGGACCAGGTTCGAACCTGCCACCCTCGGTATATGGGGCCAGTGCCCTACTCGCTGAGCCACAGGCACCACCAGTCTACAAATTTTCTTAAAAGTTTCGTGCTTTGGGCCTTAACTTTAGCCTATTGTTGATAAACTATTCAATTAAAATAAATCATTGACATTTGCTTTCCTGGGTACTTTATAATGCTTAAGAAAACAGTATGTAGCATGTTCTACTTTAAGCACACCCAATATGTGAATGTTTGGATTTACAAATAAACTAGGGGCAGATTACTGACCAAAATGCTTCAACATAATCCTTTAACAAGCTTCTCTGGTACATGTTTAAATTTATGGCCAGTTTTCCAGAACACATCAGTCACAGTGATTAGTTCACACCCGCCTCACTGTCTCATATAGAGGAATTTGCTGCCTTAATGCAGGTCTATTTCCTTCAAGGATCTTCTGGTCATGTGTCTTACAACCTACAGGAATAAGTACGAAATAAATATTCCCACAACTTCCTTGTCTATTCAGCTCTCCCCAAAGTGATGCGAAAGGTAGTTGGATAATTCCTTTCATAGGTATGGGATGGTTTTGTTAGACACAAAATGAGACAATAGGAAACTTTCTTTTTAATGAATAAACAACTTTCACAGAGACTGTCTACATATCACATTGTTATTACAACATAGATGAGCTGAAACTGTTTTGTACAGATTTGGAGGAAGGGCAACCCTAAAAAGAAATCAAGCATATAGAGGTAGTTGAATAGCAGTATGGGGGCGGGGAGCATTATCTTAATTTCCCTTCAGATCATTACAGTGCAAGAAAAAAACTGGCTGCTTAAAACAGGAATGGAAAACATAACACACACATTTGCCACTATGGCATTACTGAGAACTGCAAAAAATGATGGAACTAGTTTATCTAAGAAAAGCCTATGGTGTCACATTGACCTATTTTCTCTCCTTCTATTTCTCGGCCGTCTATCGTTGCTTTATCAATAGATACACGTCAATCAACTTTTAAAATTATGTATAAGCTACAGTGTTGCTTTGTAAACTTCTGTTAATCACATTTGCTGTGAAAAAATCCTAAACAGCTACAGAGTCATGAAACAAAAGCTTTAAATTGATACTAGGAACAGAGATTACAGGCACTTCTCTCTGGAGGTTAACTTAGCATGTTTGTAAATATGCATTTGTAAGTGAAAACTTCTTCATTTCACCTCTGGATGTGCATAACCCAGATTATGAGATAGTTTAACAGTGTAATAAGCAGGAGCTATCAATCTAAGAGGAATTGAATGTGCACATTTCACACGGCTCCTTTCCCCTCCTCCTCTCTGCGCTGCAGGAAGGGGACAAATTGCAGCCCATGCAGCTGGCTGCTCTTCAGAACTGTCTTCAATCAAGAATTCACGAATCAAAATCTCAGACCCAATAATGGGCTAAAGTCCCATCCTTTTCCCTTTGTTGGGCTATCTTCCATTTACATCTTTGTCACACACCTCTGCTATTATTCTGCCTTGGTGAGTGGAAATGGATGTAAGGTCAACATGTTGGGAACTCAAGGACTGAGTTCCTGAATAAAACTCCCATCTTGGAAATGAAGTTGGCATGGGGAACACAATACCCACGGGTTGCAGTCCATCAACAGTATGCGATCTGTTGACAGGAAGAGATCTCTGGGTGCTATGAACCAGCCTCAGGAGCTCCACTGTTCCAACGGCCAGTCACAGGGGATTTATCTGAGCCCAGGCCAGCTCCACAGGCAGAGCTGAAAGTGTCACATGTGCAATGACTCGGCTTGCCCCTTGCTGCCAAGGCAGTACTGGGCTATAAGCAGTCAGCCTTAAGAAAAGGCAAACTATTGAAATAGTCAATTCTCTGACCCCTTAAGTCAGGGGTGAGCATTTTCTCCGAGTTGTCTACATAAAGTTAGTTTGTTTTTCACTTTCTATATTTTGCTGGTTATTTGCTAGCAGCAGTAGTACAGTACAAAGCAGAAAGGCATGATGTCTGCTTGCTACCTAGTATATGTATGTATGTGTGTATATATATGCACACACATACACACGGAGACAGACAAAAAATAACCTACTAGGAAAAGACTGGGTCAGTCACAACAGACAGGAAAACTTACCAAGTAAGTGGCACCATCTACCAAGGGGGAAGCCTTGTCTTTCTGACCAAGATTTGACATTATGCTCTTCCTCTATAAACTCTTTATTCCCAAGCTACATCAAAACCAATTTCCAAGTGGCAAAAATGGTCAAGTCCAAGTACATCCCAAGGAAAGCCAGTTTAGCTGTGCATTCCACCTCCCATCACTATTGAAAGAAAAGCTTGCCATAAAACAAACCAAATGTGTATCTAAGCTACTAAAGTGAAATTCTCCTAGGCAAGAGCTATATTTTCTGGAGTTGGGTATTCACTTATCAAAGTGAAGCATCGTATGGGATGGAATTTAATTAAGAAATCAAGCTTCCTAAAGAAGGAAAAGGACTGAGGTTTAAAACAATATTAAAAAAGAAATCAAACTTGCTTTTCTACTTAGATTAAGTAGAGATGTGCTGGGTAACTTAATCTAGGACTTCCCATTGCAAGTTTCTGGGATGCTTTTGTGATATGATTGCCATGCTTGCTTAAACAAAATTGTGTAATACAAGCCATTTAAAATGCTATAAATCTGTGAAGTAATGGTTTCAAAATCAAGGTTGGCCACTTATCGGATGACTGTGTTACCTGGCTGAAGTATTTAACATTCTGGAGCCTTAGTTTTCTCATAATATGGGAATAATAACTGCTCTCACAGGGTTGATGTGAGAAATAAAGGATTTCGTGAGCTCAGGTATGTAAGATCACCTGGCTTAGCACCTGCTACGTGGTAGGTTCTCAATACATTTTTGTTGAACCTCTTACTTTGGGCAGCATAAAGGAACAGCAAGAATTAAGCACAAATGTCAAAGATTGTTAAACCTAATTATCATGGCTTGGGTAAGATTCTCAATACATTTTGGAGAACAGGAAGTGATGAGTTTGTTATTCTAACTGAGCTAGAACTTGAGGTTTCCTACCTATCAGAAATTCTAGGCCTCAAAATAACACTACTTTTGAGGCCTTATTAAAATGGGAAACATTTTTCTGGCATAGGATTGGTCCCTGTCTCTGACCTTCATTTGTTCTCCAGTCTTTTCACTTTCCCAAACAGACTTAACCTCAAAAGGAATTACCTGTAAATTATCTGATTATGGTCCAAAACTCAGTGGTATGGATTCCCCCAGCTAAATTTAAAAGGGTTTCGAATGAGTATAATGTGTAAAGGCAGTGTTTTATGCAAATGAAGGTCCCTGATGATTCTGTAACTGTGACTAATCTAATAATAGTTATTATTTAATGACTGTCACCTAGGCACAAGACACTGTGTTAAGTGATTTACGCATGTCACCTCTTTTGAAGTACAAAACAACCCTATATGCAGAATTTATCACTTCCCATTTCATAGATGAGGAAACTGGGGCTCAGCAAAAGTTAAAATCACTTCCCAAAAGTAACAGGTCTAGTAAGTAAAGAAGCATATGACCCTCTTCTTTGTCGCACTGACACTAGATAATAGTAAACTGTTCTACAAGGACTGTGACATCATCACATGGTTGGGCACCAGGGAAGAGGCAGGAGCCTCTAATTTCCTGATCCCTGAGCCTTGTAGTTTTCCGGAACCAGCAGAAACCACACCTATACTTCCATTTGCTTCCACTCTTCACCTCCTCAGTCTGGCTCCAAACATCAAACCTAGCCACACAATGCTCTGACAACACAGCATCCATTAGGCAAGTGCAAAAAGACCATTTGGTCTCTGCTTACATGAGTCTCTTTTTAGTTCGCTGGATCACCTCATTCTCCCTCGCTGGTTTCTGGCCACAGGTGGTGGTAGAAGTAGTAACACTAGTTACTTAAAGCATTACCCTGTTACCTTAACAGAGTGGATGGGCTATGAGTGGGTAATGCACCACACCTGTCCAAAACTCACATGGCACTAATTAGCATGAAGGTATGAATGGCACAATTCACTTGTACCCTGCATTATAACACCCCCATACTCTGGTACTTTTTAGGTTCTCCTGCCACTGAAGGACTAGCACTAAATGAGCCACACATGGGCTTACTGTTACCTCCAATCTCCCCCTACATTGAAATCTTTGGCTCACTGCAACTAGGAGGAAAGGCAATGCTTAGATTAAATGATGGATTAATTCTCTGGTTCCTTTAAAAGCATTTTTAAAGGGTTCATCCCTATCTAGTGGCTTCTTTATACTTTTAATAACAAATAGTCCCTCATTAAGTGTTTCCTCACGTTAGCCCAGGTCTTGATCTTTGGCATCCTGGGAAGAGGTGGGGCATGGTGGCTAGTTGGGTATGGCCGTGATGTGCTCAATGGGAAACCATTCCCTCTGAAGGGTTAATTATGATCCTGACTACAATCCGATTCTTAACTGCACTGGGAAGAAATCAGATACACTTATAATTATATGGCTGTAGATTATAGTAAGAGACACTCCTCTGATTTGTCTCTTCATTCCAGAAAAGTAATTCTTTCAGCCTAGTTCTGGGCTACACACAGAAAATGGATTTTACCTTACCCTGGCATATACCATAATCTATGCCAAATCCCTTACAGTTTAACATACTGGGGGGAAAAAAAGTGGAATCTGTGAAGACAGGTGATCTTAGCATCACTCTGAACTTCTTTCAAACATCCACTTGCATAGTACAGAACTGGTCCAAGAACTGGGATGAATGTAGTTAAAAATAAAGGAAAAATTGCACATTTCTAATATTATTATTATTTCCCCCTAGGTATATGGTAAACCACATCAATAAATAAAGCAACAGACTTTTCAGTAATATACACTTAAATAGTTACAAACATACATGTAGAAAAAAGGATACAGTAGTGCAAAAAAAATAAATTATTAAAACAGAAAGAAGTATGAACATTATTTTACACAATGCTCCATAAAACCTGAACCATTTGGAATGAGACCTCAAGTCAGTGAAAATAATGCAGCAACATTTTTACTATCTTTGCTTCACATGTGAACTACATGGTCATTGATCTATGAAAGAAAATTAAAGCAAAACCACTTTCAACTTTGAGAACATTTTAGGATAAAATCAATTGTTTTTTTTCTGGGGTCTTACACACCTCTACTATTTATGTAGTTGTGCAGCATGTCGAAAAGCATTTTAAGACAGAAAGTTTCAAATAGGTCACATTCTTTTGGGTCTTTCTACTCAATTTTCCTCTGCAATCAACAGCAGGCGAACGCCTCTGTTTGATACCCTCTTCTGTTAAGATGTTATTGCAATTAGATATATTTACAAGAAGACTCCCTCCTAGGGCAGTGGGGAGGGTGGGAGCTCCTCTTCAGCAATCCACTCACTAGTTTTGGTTTCGGGATATAAAGGCCAGGATTCGCCGAATACCATTGAGTCTATCCTTTAAGGACTTCATCGCTAGGAACGGGAGCTGAGCTCGGCTTTCCAAGGGAAGAACTGCTAATGTCCACCAGCACCAGGCTGGACCATTCGGATTAACCTGCAACAGAAAAACACAACGGGATCATCCTATTGCCATGCAAGCAATACCATTGTGCAGATTTCCAAATGGGCAAGGTAAATATCCCAGGTGGGACTGCTTCTATGTGTGGTTGCCTGCTAATTGCTCCTGTATCTATTTCTTCCTTATTTTAGCTAGGCAGATAGCCACTCAGAAAAAAATAAAAGGGCCATATTTCTTAGCATCCCTTGCAGCTAGGTTAACAAAGCTCCGGCTGATGTGTAACGGGAAGTGATATGTGTGACCTAACTGGTCACGCTCTGGGAAAGTAGCTCATGCTCTACACCTTCCTCTTTCTCTCCCTTTGCCCTAGCTAGAACGTGGGCATAGTGAGAACCAGGCTTCTTCAATGAAGAAGATGAGGGCAACAACATGAGGATGGTAGAGCTTTGTGATGAAGGAGCCTAGGTCTCTAAATGTTCCCATGGAATAGAGGTGTCCTAGCTGTTCAGGATGTAGGCCTTCTATCTTGTTTAAGTTGCAGTCATTTTTTTGTTCTTGTTAAAGCTAACAAACCAATATTCTAACAGATACACCACGTCTCCTAGCCAGTGTGATTTTATAAGCTGGAGTATACAACAGTCTCTTCTACTTCTAAGATTCTGTTAAGGTCCTTTGGACTGATGCATTTAACATGCGGGCCTTCCAGTCCCATGACCCCTTAGGCTTTGTATGCTTCTTAACTCCCTTCATTTCCTTACTGTGGCTGAAAACAATAGTCCAGATACACCATGTGACTATATAGGGCCACAGCTGCCCTCTCCCCTACAACCAAAGGCTATGATTTACAGTCCCAAGAACAGCAACCCCACTTTGCAAAAATTCCAATTTAAAAACACATTCAAGTCAGAAATGTATTCTGCCCCCAGATTTCCTTTTAATGAAAATCCTTCCCTTCTCACATAAATCACTTCCCCAAATTCTGTTCATAAACAGCTTTCCTGGCACACATTTTAGACATTGGTGACTTATTTCCTACTAAGCCTGAAATGAATTTTCTGTCTGCAACTTCCAGAAAGCTGGTGGTAGGACTACAGAACCACATTCTGGTCAAACCACCTACACCTGACATTATTTGGCTCCAAACTGGTTCATCTGATTCTCCTCAAGTCTCACCACCCTCTTTGCTTCTCTGTGTTTCTAGCTCCATTTGGATTTTTTGTCCCTTGTGGCAGCTGGCAGCATGTTCCCCTTCTGTGTTCAGTTCTAAATATCAGATTGACATGCTCAAACTTCCTTGCAAGGATCATCAACAAAGATATTCAAACTGATGTTAATACTTGGGGTGAGTTCTAAGAAACCTCCTCCTGAGGCTTAGAACATTCTTAACCATGGCACCACTGTGGCTGCAGCACTGACTGGGGTAAACTAGATGGGTTTAGGTTTTTGTTTGTTTTCTGCTGTGGGTGCCGCCCTAACATTTCAACTTTCTATGTCATCAAACCTCTTATGAATCACACTGTGGCATGTGTGGTTTCTCCCATAGAAGATGCGGTTATCACTGTTTATCTCTCTCTTTTGCCTGGCTGGGGGAGAATGCTGCCCTGAAGGAGAAGGGCAACATTAAGCTTGATCATGATCTTGCTTGGAGCTGTGCTGCAGTCCTGAGTCACAGGGGCCCGGAGCCAAGAGCTGGGTCACTGGGATGCACTAACTGGCCTTTTTCTCTTCAAAATTCATGATGTGTTTGGATGGGCAGAAAGGAGCCACCTTTGTGGTCTGGGTAAAGCAACACTTTTCAGCCCATTAAGGAACAGACTACTGGAGTTTTACAGCCTCAGCAAGCAAGAGGAAGAGGGAGCTTTAGAGACATCCTCATCATGTCAGAGATGGGAGAAAACTTAAGAAAGGCAAAGGGATACACCCAAGGTCATACTGCTAGAGAGGTAAACAAGACCAGTCTTTTGGCAAAAAAAGGTAGAATATACACATCGAGATTTTCCTTTCGTGACAGAGTTGGGAATGAGCATAAGGAAACAATAAAGGGAGTGATGATGTAGGATTGCCAGCTCAGAGTATGAGAAAAGATGGTGGTGAGGAGATATGTGGATAAAATACCCCCAGTCTTCCTAGAAAGAAAGTATTCTCAGAAATGGAATGCCTAAAGTATTTCCTGATTTACACCAAGTAACCAAAACTTGGTGAAACTTAACTACCTCCATTTTCCTGAAGAGCTTCTCATCTGCAGCTTGATCTCCCAAATGGCCTTTATCAAGCCCCCCACTCCACCCCAGGAATAACAGTGATTCAGGAGAACCTAATGAACTGCTCTCTAGTATAACTAAGCCAAGGATAAATTTAAAGATGGGGTAAATTTTCTCAGACTGTTCACCCTTGATGAGGACAGTAGCAAGGGTCTAGACTTGTAGGGCTAAGCACAGATGGACCTGGGCGTAAAAAGTTTCTGTGGTCTTGCAGTTGGAATCTTGAAGAGCAACTGTCCCTATCTCCTAGCTCCTGCAGCACTTGGGGAGAGGGTTATGAAGTTCCCTGGAAGTAGCACCCTTTGGTTTCAGTTCCCAGTATACCCCTCTTAAGTCCTGGTCTTTGCATTTATATTGTCACCCTAATGTTACCACGATGTGAATCTGGACTCCCATGGAACGTTCTTCTGTTGATGGGATTTATGTTACCATTCTCTCATCTCACTTATCTCTCTAAACCTGTCCCGCATCCAAGTTCCTACTGCTTTAGTTACCCCACTTCTGACTTGGGATCCTTTTGGTCTACCCATAATGTTCACTGCCTAGTGAAACAATACCAAATTGGATCCATCTTCTATTCTGTGCCTGATTTGCTGGGCGGCAAACACAGATCAGTCTAATCATAAACCCTGGGCACTCTCATCTAGGCAACCCGTCATAAGACATTTTCATATACCTGGGGATCAGCATCTTTCTCTGGCATTGGCCCAAAGTGATTGAGTATCCGATTCTTCAGGGATGTTTTCAGTGAATGAAACCATGATGACGCTTGCTCATAGACACAGTTATGTAATCCCATGAGCTCAGCACAATCTTCTCCCTGAACCTGAAAGTATCAAAAAGGAAGTGAAACATTCTGTACCTTCCCTATCACTCCCAGAGTCGCTTTCTCCTGTGTGAGATGTGAAGCACTAAGACCAGTGCTGCACAGTGTGTAGATACTGCTGAGCACAGAGGAAGGAGAAAGGGTCAACTTGGTCAACTACCTGAAACAGCAAGACATAAATAAAACCAGAGATTTGGATTGGCCTGAGTGGAGGCAGGTGGTTAAACCAGGTCATGCTGCTCTATGCGTCTGCCCTTCTCATTGCTACATCTATTTTTTCATTGCTCACTGGGAAGGGACACAGAAATGTGTCTGTATCTCAGTGTGTAACTATTTTGGTCAAATACATTTGTTCATTGATCAAAAATTAATCTACTATGTTGCAAATGTAAATATAAATGAACAGAGAATTATTTACCTCTGCTTTTACCCATTAGCTCAGAAAACCCAGGATTAACTGCACATGTCATCTTTCTGCCTTATGGGATGATGGATTATCAGGCAGAGCTCTTAACCAGGTTGTGCATTTAAAAATACAAATGCATGCGTAAATATATAACTATCCCAAAAGAAAAAGGTTAAAAATATAAATAAACTGATAGATAAAATACCCATGTGTAGACTCCACTCCAGATCTATTCCATGGTATCCCTGGCACAGACCTAACTCCTAGGCTGCATGGGCCTCCGAGTTGGTCTGGGATAGCATTTCGTATGCGTGAGTGCAACTCAGAAGCTAAACAGAGCCAGGATAATGAGTGTTCTCATTGCCATTCTCCAACTGGACAGCAATCAGCAGCATTCAATGTTGCTGCAACAATCTGGTGAGAAATCCCAAGGCATCTGACAGTTTTAAGAAATCCTTTTGCAACCATCTTTGTATGCCAAGTTACAGGGAGAGCCTGGCTTTGGGATTCTTGGCCCAACCACCCTCACCTTTTGGTCTTCAATGTATTCAATGTCAGCTGTGTTATAGCCATCTCGTTGTCCCTGATGGAGGACCTTGAAGCGCCTCTTGCCTATGCTGTCAACCACTGAGCGGCCATCAGCAAAGAATTGAACATTTCTGATCTCCAGAATGCAGCCATATTCCACAAACCTGTTTTTTGAGAATGGAATCAAGAAAGAAGATCCTTGATGAGTTCCGTTCACCTGGCCTGGTCCCCAGCCATTTCTGTAACCCTGTGCTGTATCTCAAGGGACTTCTGTCTATTTGCCTGTCCTCAGGTTTATAGCTACAACTGTATAGTACAACACAGGCAGTGCCCGTGTGATAAAAGAAATCATAATGTAATTATTATAACTGTACATTATTGTATTATAACATTTATTGAGCACATACTGTGTGCCAGGGCTATGGTTTGAACATTTTCCCCTCGAAACTCATGTTGAAATTTAATCATTATTGCAACAGTATTAAGAGGAGAGTCCTTTAAGAGGTGATTAGGCCTCCACCCTCATGAATGGATTAATGCCATTACTGTGGGAGTAGAGTAAGTCTGTTATAAAAGGGAAAGTCTGGCCCCTCTTTCTCGTTCTCTCTTGTTCTTTCTTTGTCCTTCTGCTTTGTGATGCCTTCTGCCATTTTTATGACACAAGAAGGCCTATACCAGACGCCAGTACCTTGATCTTGGAATTCCCAGCCTCTAGAACAGTGATTTTCAACTGATGTGCTATGGCACACTGGTGTACAGTCAGAGGATCTTAAGTGTGTCATGAAAATTTTTAAAGATCATTAATTACTTTCAAAAGAAGTTCAAAGTATTTTTTAACTCTATTTTTTGATGAACGCAATTTAAGTGTGCCATGGAAGTTTAACTATAGGTTTGAGTGTGCCGTGGAATGAAAGAGGTGAAAAAACATTGCTCCATAACCATGAGAAATAAATTTCTATTGTTTAAAAATAGTCTGTGGTATTGTCATAGCACCACAAAATGGCCTAAGACAACCAGTATCTGTTTTATATGCATAATTAACTCACCAATCCTCCCAACAAACCCAACAAGGTAGGCACTATCATTGTATTCATGTTACAGATAAGGAAACTGGGATATAGAAACGTTAAGTATCTTGCCCAAAGTCAAATGTGATCCGAGGCTGGAGCCAGTATATGAATCCAGGCAGCTGGACTTCAAGAGCCACACTCATATAAAACAAGTATAATATATACTGTGGAGTATGGCTTGTTAGGCAGCAAAACTCCCTCATCCTGGGAGGTGCATTCCAGGAACAACCCCCAACTGCTTCTCCTTCCTTCCTAAAACAACAATAGTCCTTTCTCCTTGCTCTCTCTGCCAGAAGTCACATAGCTTCTGTATATTTTCCTTTCTTCTGCCTAAAAGCACACAGCCTTCTTTCCCTAAAGTTAATCTTTACCCCCCGTACCGAAGATTCACATCCTTGAGGAAGATTCACAGTCCTTAAGGATACCGTTTATGATAAAACTCTTTTTACTTATCCAGTTACTTCCACTTAGCCTTGTAAAATGAAAATATTCCCACTCGCTTTCCTGGCTGATTTGCAACATTGTTAATATGAGCAACCTTGTTTAGGTAATAATAAAGCTTTTTATTAATACCTAATAAAGCTGTTCCATCCTGGCTGCAGTCATCAGCTGCATCAGACCTCCGGATCTGATCTCTTTGTCTTTCATTTAATCTATGTCTCTTGTGTGACTTATTTTCTCAATTCCCCACCATTCCCACTCAGGTTCGCTTACTCTTCGAGCTGGTTTGCAAAAACATACTACTTATCTAACAAAAGATTCACTTTGGGGTTCTTTTATACCGTATGAGGCAGCCACTCATATGGTAAACTAAGCACGAGAAGATCTCTGGTCCCTACACATGCTCATGTTCGTGGGCTGGCTAAACATCATAAACTAGGCCTCCCCATCTCCTGGGAGCACCCCAAAGTTAAACAGAAATCTCTCTCCATCCAATCACCTTTATTCACATGGCTCCTTACTTACCCTTTGACGGGATCTCCAAGGCACATGCCAAATTGTCTTGTTCCTGTCTCAATGCATCTGCGAATCATCAGGCGGTAACAAGGCTCAAATATGTGTAAGGGACACGGAACGGTGGGGTAGGCCATGGTACACACAAAAATAGGCACGTTCTTATTTAAGCTGTCAGGAAGAATAAATAACATGGATCTCAAAACAATGGGGCAGAACACAGAAAGGTTGGTTAAACTTCCCCATGTGGTACCCGCCCTGCCAGTCAGGAAAGACAAAGAGACATCAAGTTTTGATGGCTGGTAGAAAAATACTGAAATACAACTGATACTGTAGGCTGAGATCCATCATCTGGTACAGAGGTTAGCTTACGGTCTAAGAGATTAAAATTGGCATTCCACACATTCCAACTTGGCTGAAGAAATTCTCTAGTGCCTTAACATCATGGGTGATAGCTATGCCTCATATTTTTATTTTTCTATCATGCTCTCCACGCAAAATGATCTCCTCAGATGTCTTGCTGCAAGTGTGGGGAAGGGCGCTGATGGTGTAAGCGGACTCAGTTATGCAGAGGGGTGGTAGAAAATTCTCTGCAAGGTCCCCGTGGGCATCTCACATTTGCAAAGCCCCCCAGAAAATCTGCATAGCAGGCCCAGCTGGAAGGAGGGAGCAAAAGACAAGCAAGAATAACTTAGCTCAGTGATGCTTCAACAATCTTATGCATCAGAATCATGGGCGGGGGGCTCTGAAATCTAGACAACTGGGACATGATGCCCCAGAGCCCGGGAGTCTGCCTTCCAACAAGTATCCCACAGGTTTAGACACATGGCCTTATTGGGGAACTGCCAGCCAGGCCTGTAGTTTCTATCTATTTATTTTTCTAGTATATCCAGTGCAGGAACATCTGAACCTACACCTACCAAGAGATATGAGACCAAATGCCCAAATCTCAAAAGAGTTAACTTTAGGATTCCTTTCACTAGAAAGCCCCTCAGTATATTCCAGTGTTTGTTAATAACACCTTAAGTGAGATTTGAGAAGGGGGATGGAGAGGCTACGTGCTAACTTACAGATCGGAAATAAAGATAAAGATAAAGATGCCCTGAGCAGTTCTAATATCCATGAATAAGAAAAAAAAGACTGCTAGGTTCTGAGGAAAACATATCATAACGTGATAAGCACATTCAAACAAACTGGTGGCAGAGTTTAGAAATGGTCTGGATCGAGTGGCCATAAAAACCATAACGGTTTTTTGCTATCAGGAACCTCACCTCTGAAATGTTGTGAGGATTCTACTGGGGATAGGAGAAGGGAAGGGCAGCAACGAGAGAGACTGAAATTAGTGAGTGATCGCCTCCTGCTTTTTCTGCCACGTGAGCTGCTCTCCTAGCCAGACAGAGAGCCGGGAGCTTCACTTATGTCTCCATCCCTGCCCTTTAGCACTCACGCTACCTGTGCAAGGCAGAGGAAGCGTTTGCTAACAGGTATTAGTGCTAATACCATGTTAAGTGTTTTTTACTATGCACGAGTTCACATGCTCTTCATAAGAAGTCTATAAGGTAAGAAATAATATTACCCTTAAGCTACAAATAAGGAAACTGAGGCCCAGAAAGGTTAAGTGACTTGCTTAGGGTCACAAAGGATACTCACTTTGAGGCAGAACTGGGTCTTATGCCCAGGTCTGGCTGACACCCAAGTTCTTAACCTCACAGCACCTCCTTATGCATTTGAAGATGGCCTTCCAGAAATTTCGTAAGTTCTCATTATTAAGCTCTTCCAATTTAATTCTGCAGGGCCACCCTGCTACTAGAGCCCAGATGTAACCTGGTCAGCAGCGGTCTGGCTCATGCTGCCTCAGGGGTGTGTGCCTGTAAACGTTTAACAACTAGGTTGTGGTGGGGGGGATCCGTGGTGTGTAGCATTTGCCAATTTCCATAGCATAAATACTCTCATTTCTTGCCATGACCAATTTCAAGCTACCAACATGACCTTACTGAATGAAGAGCCAGGAAGAAATGTGTGCATTCAGCTGTCATGAGCTGGTATGAGTGAAACTGAAAAGAGAAGCATGAATATACATACTTAGAAAGTTCTTCCATTTCTTCTTCATAAAGCCTCCTTCGTTCTTTGAGTTCTTCTGGCAGGAATTTAGCTATTAGCTCTTCCATTATTACATTTTTGCTGTATTTTCTTGATGCCAAGCACTATGTGGTGAACAAGACAATTACAGAATACGCAGCCATCAGAAAAATACAAAACATTTGTGATATAATCAGTAGAATAGTCAAATACCCACATATTAATTTGGACTCAAATTAACGGCTGATATTACCACAATATATGTATTCTCTGGATGCTAGAGCTTAGTTTGGAAAAAAACCACATGCAATTGAGTATCTTCATTAGAAAAAGTATTTTAACAATGGGGGAAAACCTTCACTGGAACCTTTATTAAAAAATGGCTTTCCTAAACACTGGAATTGAGAAAATGTTCTTATCGAGAGAAGGAGTAAATCATTTTCTTTCCATTTTCTGGTTATTCTTTTTGTCAGATCACAGAAATGGTTTCCATCTGGGATATAGTGAAAGTCAGGTGTCAAAAGGTTCAGGGAACTAAAAAGTAATTTTCACTCTTTGATCCTTTCCTGCCCTGCCCCACCTTCATCCAACTTCAATGCTTGACTTCTCTTCGCATTTTTTTCTCTTCTAACTTTAGTTTTTAAAAACCACAAACAACTAGATACTGGTGATTTGTTTGTCTATTTGCTGCCTAGATATCACTGAGATTACATCATAGGACATGATTTTAGAACCAGGCTCAGGATAAATTGTCACTACTATTCTCCTGCCAAACATCCCTACCCTATGCATATCCAGGCATCTGTTAAGTAGTGGGTATTTAACCTGTGGGTCGATGTGAACCAAACGAAGGATGTTAAAACATCTGGAGAGAATTGCTTGCTATGGAAACTACTCCACATACCCAGCAGGGGGAGCTCCTGAGTATAAAACTGTTGGCTTCACAAACCACAATCTTGGTCCCTTCCCAGTATGGGCTGTGTGAACATGACTGGAATATTTATCTCTCTTTAAAACAGTGTAACTATGACCCTGTGTGAATACATAGCGATAGAGAAGAATATCTTCTGGTCCTTAAAACCAGGACCCCACAGCATCTGCCTCCAGGATATCTTTTCAGTCCCTGCTATTGCCTGGCTATAAGAAAATCAACTGTGTTGCCCCATCCCAGTCTTAGGGGACAAGCAGTGACTCAGGAGGTAGCCAATCCAAGGAGGTGACTCCTCTGCTGATGCTAAAACAAAATCCCAGGAAGGGCACACATTAAAATGTTAACAGTGGTTTTCTCTAGGTGCTGAGAATATGGGCAGATTTTTCTTCTTTCTGCTTATCTGAGTTTGGTAGTGTTGGCACAACACAAATATAGTATTTGAGTACAAGGACCATGGGCTTCTCACCACAATCAGGCCAGCAAATATCACCCCTTTATCTAGGTAAAAGTATAACATTGACCCCCGCATCCTGATACACAACCTTAGGACTACCCTTGATGATTATTTCATTCCATTATCTTAATTTAAATGTTGGGACGATGGGAAAGCTCCACGTGTGACTTCTCTGGATTACGTTCACCTAGAGATAGTCTTGCATCTCCAACCTGTCCCTAGGAATGACAGGGATCAAGGAACATTAATATCAATTATAAAATGTGGCACACAAATCTTCGAGGGAGGAAAACCAAGACAGATTCCTGGGTCTTCTTTTGTCCAAGGAAATTCCATCAGGTCCACTTGAAAAATGAAGGTGGGAGTTTGTGAGATTGATTTTAGCAAACCCAGAAGCCCCAGAGATTTTCCAGTAGCCAAGTATCTGCTAATAAGTACAGTGGCTCATGAGGAGTTGGACAAGAACCACATTAAAGGTCCGTAAGGTTCTTATGGGGCCCTGGGAGTTGATCTCTTCAAACCATGGAACAAACATTGATGATAAGGGAACATGAGACCAAGCCCAGAGAGGACAAAAGATTCACCCAAGATTACAGTGCCATCAGATGGGATTAGAACCAGGACCCTTGTTGATCATCTACTTAATAATTTTTTCCCACAAATTAAAAAGCTAGATATTGCTTCATTTTTCTGAAGGACTATGTGGAGAGAGGAAGGGGGCTATAAGAGAGAAGAAACAGATGGTCTCAGGAATAATTTGTCCTAGTTCAGTGCAGTGGCTTGGAATACAATTAAACACTGTCTTAGTACCCAGTTACAAATAAGTTACCCGAACCAAAAAAGAAACATCGGTTTACCTGTGAAAGACCATCTTTGCACAATGGACACTTTGCGTTGTGATCTAGGCATCTTTCAAGGCATTTTAAGCAAAAGGTGTGTCCACAAGGTGTTGTAACTGGCTCAAAGAATAACCTGAAATTTAGGAATTAAAATGGAAGAACAATGTAATAAGGCCAAAGATAAAAGAGCTACCCAAGTTAAGGTCTTACAACATTATTTGAAAAATTCTAGGGGGAGAGAGAGTTCTTTTAATCACTACTGTTATACTTCAGACAAGCATTTTCTTCTTATTTCTGAGCTGGATTTAAATAATGTATTTATTAAAGTTCAGGACATAGCTAGATTATTTTGTAACATTAGTTCTAGTTAATCTCTTCTGGGCATCCAGACATTTTCCCCATCTAGTCCAAGAAAAATAGAGATTAATGCCCAGAGGGTTTCTAAATAAATTCTATTCTAAAAATATTTAGCCAACCTGTTCACCTGAGGATATGTAAACACACAGAAAGATACATACAACCACATTCAGACATTTACCTGTTTAAGCACTTTACATCATATTACCATTGGAAAAACTTGGTTTGTTTGCTAACCTCTATTCCACTTCTCACCTAAGCAATGTTTACCACATGAAGGATCTTGAAATTGCCTCTCTAACAAACATAGAACTGCCTTTTATATAGATGGATGATTTTCCTAGTGGTAGTAGAGTAATATCATTAATGTGCTTACTGATATAGAGCAGATAGATATGAATATATATTGACCCATGTACATTCATATACTTCAATTAGATCCTACTTTAATTACTTTGGGAGAGCAGAATATTTTCAAAGCAATCTGGGGATCCTTTTTGAAAGCTGTTCTGTTCCTTCAGAGATTCATGGATTTACTTTGCTTAAGGAAAGGCTCACCTGCAGCAGGGTCAGCGGACGCAGCTGAAGATGACGGCTGGGAAGTGGGACTTGGGCTCACCAGGGAACGAGTATAGAAAGGAAAAGACGCCAGACCAACCTATTTTGACCTCACAAAGAGTGTTCAGTTGAGAGGAAGAAGTTGCCAGCTGCACGGCTCCCTCGTGTGGCCAGGAGGTGCACACGCACCCTGGCTGTCGCTGCCCCGCGGAGCAGAAGCGAAACGTCAGAGCTTGAAAGTACTTTCGAGGAAACTGAATCCACTAGCTAGAATGAAAGTGAGGTCCAGAGGGGCGCGAAGTCGCTTGTCTAAGTAGGTACACAGCCAACTGGTGACAAATGAAAGTCTAGCCAACTTTCATACGGGCCTTTTCTGTTAGAACAATGATTCCCCCGAGTCTTGCGGCACATCTGAATCACCTGAGATCTTTAAACCACTTTCTTGCTGAATAATTGACTACAACATGCTGAACAGACTTAAAATGAGCTTTGACATATGTACACACCCATGAAACCATCACTACAATTAAGATAGGGAACATACTCACTGCTCCCAAATGTTTCTTCATGCTTTTAAAAAAAAATTTTATTAAATCATAACTGTGTACAATTATGGGGTACAATGTGCTGATTTGATATACAATGTGGAATGCTTAAATCTGACTGATTAACATAACCATCATCTCACTTACTTATTTGTTGTGGTAAGACATTTATACTATACTCTTAGTAGTTTTGAAATATACCATTGCAGGCTTGATGCCGGTATCACAGTGGTTATGGCGCCAGCCACATACATCGAGGCTGGTGGGTTTGAACCCAGCCCGGGCCAGCTGAACAACAATGACAACTGCAACAAAAACAATAGCCGGGCGTTGTGGAGGGCACCTGTAGTCCCAGCTGTTTGGTAGGCTGAGGCAAGATAATTGCTTAAGCCCAAGAGCTGGAGGTTGCTATGAGCTGTGACCCCTTGGCACTCTACTGAGGGTGACATAGTAAAACTCTGTCTCAACAAAAAAAAAAAAAAGAAAGAAAGAAAGAAAGAAATGTGCCGTTGCATTATGCACAATAGATGAGGTCCCACCAAGTACCCTCGTTCCTCCCACGCCCTTCCCCCCCTTCTCTCTGGACTATAGTTGTGTTTTATCATTCATATGGATGTGTAGAGGATGATATATTGGTTTTATAATCGTATTGAGTAAAATGGGTACCTTTCCCCTCATTTTTATAAATCCTCCCTTCTGCCCCTCCCTATCGTCTGGGGAGCGTTTTAAAAAACTTCAGATCTTAATAACAGCACCTGCTGAAACAATCTGATATTGAGACCCCAAATTAAATATACTGGAGTCTCAAAAGGGGGGAATGAGAGAGGGTACCTGAGAAAGGTGAGGTCTAGGTGAACAGGTCTTCTCAAGGAGACCACAAGGATACACCTGCGGGGTCCTCTCCATAGTGACTCAGCTCTTGGGAATTTGTAAACTTAGCTTCCTGGAACTTGGAAATTTCCAAGTTCTGTGAAATCCTGTAGTTCTATAGGGGCTAGAATAGCATCTCCCACTTGATTCAAACTGGCCCATGAGAAGGGTATCTGTGGGGTGAAACTTTTTGACTGTCCATAAAAAGGGAACGATCAAGCCAGTCAGGGAGTGTGGCCATTTGGAATTCTTCTAAGCTCTTGGCCAGTAAACAAGCCCTCTTATAAAAAAAAAAATACTTCTGAGGCAGCATCTGTGGCTCAAAGGAGTAGGGTTCCGGCCCCATATGCTGGAGGTGGTGGGTTCAAACCCACCCCTGGCCAAAAACTGCAAAAAAAAACGTACTTCCGATGCTGGTCGCACTTGCAGATTCAGGATACTAGGTCAGGCCAAGCATCAGGATATTTTAACAACCCCCACCCCCATCAATATCCCTGGGGTGGTTCTAATGGACAGTCAAGCTGAGAATCACTGTATTACACAATCCTACTGATCTCTGCCTCTGAGAACCTTCTGTAGTGGTCTTCAAACATAATTACCAGAGTCACTTCGGAGCTTTAAAAACATACACACAGAGAAGCTCCACTGGGTAAAGTTCACCATTCAACAGGCCAAGGGGAAGGGCAGAAATTTTATATTTTTAACAACTCAATGAAGATCTGGAGTAGGAGATAGACTTTTCATGTATTCACTATTTTTTTCTTACTTTTTGAACTTTATGATTCTCTTTAAAAAGTAATTTCTTTAGCAGACAACCAGTTTTAATTATTAAATTGACCAAAACATACATTTAAAATAAAAATCTCATGATGGAGGTCCTAACCAGGGCACTAAGGCAAGAAAAAGAAATATGAGCACTGGAAAGGACAAAACTCAATTTGTCATTATTCACGAATGGTATGAGTGTGAGGTTAGAAAGTTGAAAAGAACACACAGAGTGATTATTAGAATTAATAAGAATTAGAATTAGCAAAATTGCTACATAAATACACTACAGACAACCAGTATATGTGGCAGCAATAAACATCGGAAAATACATTTTTTAAAAGAGGACACTTATAACTGCTTTTCAAAATCAACTACCCAGGAATAAATCTAACAAAAGAGGTGATAGACCTTTACTGGAAGAAACTATAAACACCTCACTGAGAGAAATTAAAGACTTAAATGAGTCCCCCCCAAATCCTAATAAATTACTTCATTTGTTTATGTTTGTGGAACTTGAAAAATTGATTTCTAAACTTTATAAGAAAAGGCAAAAGGCCAAGACCAAGACACATCTGAAGAGCAACGATGTAGGAGGACTTACTCTAACTGACATCAGAATTTATTATAAAGCTACAGTGATTAACACTTAATGACTAGCACAAGGACAAACAGACCTATGTGTGGAAAAGAATAGAAAGCCTGGAAATAGACCCAGACCTGGATTCTTGATTTATGACAAATGTGGCACTTCAAAGGGGAAGGGAGAAAGATTCCCAATACATAAATATCATTCTCAATAAATGCTGTTAGGATAGTTGGCTAGATAGGGGGAAATGAAATCAGACTATCTCTCACCCCATTCACAAAAATCAATTCCATGTAGGCTGTCAAAATGTGAAAAGCAAAGCAATAAAGTTTTCAGAAGACAAAATAGAAAAATATCTTTATGACTTCAAGGTAAAAAAAAATTATTAAACATGACACAAGGGAACAATAAACTATAAATGAAAAGACTAATTTAAAAAAGAACTTTTAGGCCAGGTATGGTGGCTCACTCCTGTAATCCTAGCACTCTGGGAGGGCAAGGAGGGTGGATCACCTGAGCTCAAGAGTTCCAGACTAGCCTGAGCAAGAGGGAGACCCTCTATACTAAAAAGAGAAAAACTAGCCAGGCATTGGGCAGTGCCTGTGGCTCAAAGGAGGAGGGCACCAGCACCATATACCGGAGGTAGTGGGTTCAAACTCGGCCCCAGCAAAAAAAAAAAAAACTAGCCAGGCATTGTGGTGGGTGCCTGTAGTCTCAGCTATTTGTCAGGCAGAAGACTGCTTGAGCCCACGAGTTTGAGATTGCTGTGAGCTATGACGACACTGTGACACTCTCTATGCAGGGTGACAAAGTGAGACTCTGTCTCAAAAAAAAAAAAAAAAGAAGAAGAACTTTTAAGTTCATCAAAAGATGCCATTAAAAGAGCAAAAAGGCAAGCCACAGAGAAGAAAATATTTGCAACACATGACTAACAAATGACTTGCATCCAGAACATACATATAGCTCCTTCAAGTCAGAAAGAAAGACAGAAAGAAGAACCCACTAGAAAATGGGCAAATGTGTATATGCACCAGCATGTGTAAACAATGTTCATAGCAATATTGTCCATAATATCTCCTACAGAAACAACCCAAACATCCATCTATAATAACATTGATAAATAAATTGTGGTGGAGTCATATAATAGGGTACTAAACAATAAAAAAATGAACACACTTCATCTACATGCAATAACATGGACAAATCTTAATACTGACTAAAAGAAATCAGACTGAAAGAATAAATTCGGGGTAATTCAATTCATACAAAGCTTTTTTTTTTTTTTTTGACAGAGTCTTCTCTGTTGCTCTGGATAGAGTGCAGTTGCATCATCATAGCTCACAAAAACCTCAAACTCTTGGGCTCGAACAGTCCTCCTGCCTCAGCCTCTCAAGGAGCTGGGACTCCAGGTGCAAACCATGATGCTCGGCTATTTTTCTCTATTTTTAATGGAGATGGGATCTTGATCTTGCTCAGGCTGCTCTTCAACTCCTGAGCTCAAGAATCTTCCCGCTTCAGCCTCCCAAAGTGCTAAGGTTATAGTCATGAGCCACCACACCTGGCCTACAAAGTCTTTTTGTTGTTGTTGTTGTTAAATCATAACTGTATACATGGATGCATTTATGTGGTACAATGTGCTGATTTTATATACAATTTGGAATAGATTACACCATTTAGAGATGCAGGCATAGCTGGAAAATCCCCTGGTTTTAGGGGTGCAAAGAGTAGTCCTGATTGGGAAGGGGCATATGGGCATCTTCTGAAGTCCTGGCAATGTTTGATTTCCTGAGCTTAGAAGGGTTACTTAAGTATTCCTTCACAATATTTTTTTTAAGAGAACACACCTTGTATGCACTTTTCACTGTGTGTATTTCACAATTTAAAATGGTTTTCAAATGTGTGATTTGGGAACCACTGTTGTGATCTAATTATCAGAGCAACCAAACCAGAATATATCATTTCCTGGATAACTTGAGTCCTAAGAATGATTGTTATATGTTATTTGATGGTGGCAATGATGAAGATGATTGATGAATGTGTGTCTGCAAGTAATATACAAAACTATTTTTTCTTGAGAATGTCACAGTTGGACCTATTGTTCATTTGAGAATGTAACCCATCTAAAATAAAGATATAACTGGATGATTAATTGCAATAAATACTGACATTCAGTGAGTGGATGAAGGAAACACACACAAAAGGACACAGCAATCTCTTAACAAGAGCTATGATTAAAATGCCCCTGCCTGGGTGGCAGCAAACAAAACTGTGGCCACAGATGCTGCATAATTATTGCTTTGAAATAGTTCAAGGTTCAGATGCTTAGAATATATCACTTTTCAATACTCAATTCCTTTCTATATTTAGGGCTACTCTGCTACTCTGCAACGAGCTGTATAAAGTGACTGGGAGGGGATGGAATCTCTTTCTCTTGCTGTATTTCCGGTTCGTGCCATAATTTACTTTAGATATTAATGGGTGGTCATTATGATTTGCTCCATTTTACTGTTGAGGAAATCAAAACTCAAACAGGTTAAATAACTTGCCCAAGGTCACACAGCTGGCTGGAAATAGAAGGGCCTTGGGATCTGAAACCAGATCTGACTTCCACGCTCACCTTCCTTTTCTACTCTATTTCATAGCAATGACTATGTTTCCTCATCTCAAATAGACATCGTCCATCTACACGTAGATGCACATACGCACATACATTTGTCCCTTTCTCACTGTCTTTCTCTATTTGAGAGAGAGAGAGAGACTAGAATTCCTCTCCCTTTTATTTGCCACTTTAGGTAACAATTTCAGAAAACACTTCTTCAAAAAAAAAAAAAAAAGGAAAAAGAAAACACGTCTTTAGGGGAAGCATTTATACATCAGAACGGGGCCAGATTTTCTCACAAGAAAGTATTTTATATTGTTACGGTGATGGAGTAAACAATAGTAATAATAAGTGCTTTCAGTTAGATGTCAGCTCGGATAAAATGTTTGGCTTGTCTGGAAATAGCTATCTTTTCCCACCAGTTACATCCTTGTATTGTGTTTTTTGCTATCAGATTAGAGCAAAGAGGGAATAATAAGGAGGGGAGAAAAAGGGGAGGGAGGGAGGGAGAAGGAGGGAATGAAGGAAGGAGGGAGGGCGAAAGAGAATCAGAATGAACTGACTCCTTAATACCCAGCTACTCGAGCAGGTAAAACTAAGATAAATATAAAATTTCTTGTTTCAACTGACAAAGAGGTCACTGGGCCATTAGGTAACTGGTTCAAATATCAAACATTCTTGCTTCACATCTCAAAATATCCTTGTCACCCCAAAGGTGCTGCCCTATAGCATCTGCTGTAGTGGTGGCCCCCAATAGCTAGGGTACCCATACCAGGTAAATAGGGAGGATTTTCAGCTATTAAGGATAAAGGGGCAGAGATCTGAGGTGTTGGAGTTAGGGGGTCACTTTCCTCAGCAGGGGACTCCCAATCCAGCAAGAGAGACCTGGAGATTGAAAAGGTCCTCATTAACACACCTTCCAACTACCGTTCCGTTTGTTCTTTCCACCCTTTTTCCTGTGGAACTTAAAATCTGCTCCTAATTTTCTCCCTGGAACCAGAATATATAAATGCACACTCCAACTTGTCTTTCTACCCATACAGCAGCATGGGACGATTTCATTCTAGCAACGTGCACGAGTGGTACGTATGTCTAGTTTCATGACTCAGTGTATTGTCTGGGGCTGTCTTTACTCTTACACTCTCTCCCCCAGAGACACAGAAGGGTAATCAGAGAACCTAATATTCCTGACAACAATAAAAAGAAGAAAAATGAGAGGTGGAAACAGGAACTGTCTCAAAACTATAACAACTCAATCGAAAACTTGTGTATGAAATAGCTTCTGTCAATGTCTGACAGACAAACGCTGTTGGAAGGGGAACTACACGTTTTTGACCGAGGGCTTCAGTTTTAAGAGCCTCAAGATCAAAAATGCATTCTAGATGGCCAGATTTCTTATCACCATAAACCAGTGAGACTCCAGCCATAACTTAGCAGCCTATACCATAGCCACTCCAGGCAAAGGTGAAGTTTTGTTTTGAAGTCTTACTTAAAAACGGGGGAGAGGGGCAGGATAAGGGAAATAATGGCTTTTAAACTCAGAGTGAACCAAATGGAAGGGGGCCTTATCCTCTTGTTTATTTCTTGGACCAAATGTGAACCCTTCTTCAAAGCCCCCCTTGAGATCAGGGACAAACAAGATGAAAGGGAGAAAGCAGAGGAAGAGGAACAAAAGAACGTAAACCTCAGGATCCTTCACCCCGCAGATGAAACACAAACAGGATGAGTTTCTATGTTTCATTTCCGGTCCCTGGATGTTAGGGGGAGTGGTAAGTAGGATAAATGGAACAAAGACCTAGTGTCTCTGAGCAAGTGAAATCAAGTCTCTGCTGTAGCTCCCACCATGGGCAGAGAGCCAGGGTGGTGGCCCATTTCTCCGTCTGGCAAAAGGGTTTAGCTCCTACCTTGACTTTGACATGACCCACCTGCCACTCTGTTGTGAGGGTGTAGAGGAAACAGGGAATTGCAGTACAGCCCCTCCCACCCTATCCCAAACAAAGCCCTGATGGCACACAAAAGGCTTGCTTTGAGTGAGTCTACATTCCTATCAGGTCAGCCCAAGCTTATGAGCAAATCTGATAACTATAATTTTTTTTAGAGAAATTAAAATCTACATTTCAGATAACAGAAGCCTTACTCATTCTTATTCCTCTGACAAGAAAAGCCATTCGGAATACAAATGTATGTGATCGGTATGAGGAGCATATGTGCTTGTAAAGGGCAAGAAAACATCTGAGAAGTCTCTGCTGGCTGGACCCCACTGTGCGGTGTACCAAAAGGCTTTTCTTGACATCTTGTCTCTTGGGTCAACCATCTTAACAATTTTTATGCAAATATCTCAGCCTCCTTTTAATGCTCTTTTGGAAAATAGACATGTTTAAGAATCTGCTGTAGACCTTGCCCTGGAAACACACACACACACATACACACACAGAGTTCAGGATATTCATAGATCTAAAGGAATCCATACATAGAACCTCCTCACGGGTTCACAGACCCGAAGTTAAGAAACCTCTGGTCTGGGAGGAAATAGTATTTATTGAGCAGTCACTATATGGCAGGCACTATTCTAAGTGTTCAGTAGACTTTCTCAATAAATCATAATAACCCTATGGGGGAGGGATTGCGGATCTCCATTTTACTGATGATAAAACACTGTTGGAGAATGTCACCTGTTCCTGGTCAAACAGCCAGTAAATGACAGAGCCAGAGTTCTTTTTTTTTTTTTTGAGACAGAGCCTCAAGCTGTCCCCCTGGGTAGAGTGCCGTGGCATCACAGCTCACAGCAACCTCCAACTCCTGGGCTCAAGGGAGTCTCCTGCCTCCGCCTCCCAAGTAGCTGGGACTACAGGCACCCGCCACAACGCCCGGCTATTTTTTGGTTGCAGCCGTCATTGTTGTTTGGCAGGTCCGGGCTGGGGATTCGAACCCGCCACCTTAGGTGTACGTGGCTGGCGCCTTATGAGCTATAGGCGCCGAGCCAGAGCCAGAGTTCAAAACCTGGCTTTACACCTCTCCTCTTAGCCACTAAGTCACAGACATGAAATGAAACAAATGAAAGTAGTTTACAAATTTTTCATATGGTCACACACACCCTAATCATAGCATCTTTTTCTAGGAGTGGGGGGAAGGGGATGTGGATAATTTGCCTCTCCTGAGATCTGAGAAAGTAGAGATGATGCGGCACTTTTACTTGAAGGGGAAACTCGTGGCCAAGTATCTCATGCCCACTACTAACTTCAATTCAACACAAAACAAAAGCTAGGCAGGCCTTCTACTCGGCTTCTAAAGAATAGGCTTGTGATATTGACATTAGCCCTTATGCTTTGAGTTCTTGAGCTAGTAATTGAGATTAGTTCCAGGGTCACACATTTAAATACTTAAATAAGGGCCAGGAAAGTTATGCAAATGTGAGATACAGGCTGGTATATGGCAGTGAGGGTGAGGCTTGGCCAACCCAGAGAAAGCATGTCCTGTATGGAGACATTCACATTTAATAAAAACAAACTTCATGCGGGCCAAACAAAAGACATATTCAGCCTGCAGGCCAACTGTTTGTGATCTCTAAGGAGATCATTCCCTTCCCACTCTCCAGGTATTTCCAAATCTGGAGTCAGGAATTCAGGGTATGTAGTCTGTGGGCTGCAGACACAAGCCTGCCCAATCAACAGTAGTGATTTCCATTTCATTAGAGCCATGCTTTCATGTGCCAACCAACTGAGCAGTAGGTCACTAGCAGAACAGTTCAGACACCGGAGAGTAGAAAACATCAAGCAGTTAAGTGACAGTACACATCACATACCTCATACATAGGGCGCATTCAAGGTCAGATGCATCGAAAGATACAACTGGAATACTGAGAACAGGTTTGGCCTCCTGGTCAGCGGGAGGACCTGTGATTTAGAGAGCAATAAGTCAGAGTTGGACCAACCTTGGTGTCATAGACGGTACTTCTGAGGCAAAAGAACCCAATTTATTCTTTTAATTTGCCACTCTCACCACCTCCCAGAGAGTTGAGTTAGTGGCCACCTGAGCCATTAAGAACGAGATGCCTTGAAGTTGGCTCTCAGAGGTTTCCAGCAGCTCTCAGAGAAAGAAAAGCCCAAGTCAGGGAATGTCCAGGAAGCCTGTGGACTTCATTCAAATGTGACAGACACCTCCATCAACAGCAGAGGCAGCAGCAACTCCACAGACTGAGCCAGGTTTTCAAAGCTCAGGCTCGATCTTGGCCCTGCTAACCTGTCTCAGAAAGGCACTGAGCTGTGGCTGCAGCTGCTCTGATGCCTACCTATGGGGACACGACTGGGAACGTGCAGGGTGAGGCCTGACCTCACTTCCTTCATTCCACATTCCTAGAATGGGGCCAAGGGTAGTGACAGGTTAGTCTGGAAGGAAGTGGCACTTTGATCAATATGGGATGTCATTACTTGATACTATGCTTCACCTGATGCCTTGGCTTTCCATTATAACTAATATCGAGCACTAACAGTGTGCCAGGCCCATGCATGATCGCACAGAAACCTCACACTAACTCCTGAGGTCTGATAGCTAGTAGGTGCCAGAGCTGGGTCACATACCCTGAGCCTAAAAAGCCCCCAAGTAGAGTGTAAGTAACTTGCATATACATTGGTAAGCCCAGGTATCTCATCCGAGCTATGTTCTCCCTGGGTAGAGGCAGTACCTTGCTTGGAGGCTTTATTAGGCACCTCCATGTCTTCTCGGGGTTCAGTTTGGCCATGTTTCCTTTTCTTTTCCTGGCATTTGCCGGTCTTGATAGAGGCAGCTTCTGGAGAGGCGGCATCCTCCCTTTCCTCCTCTCCTTCCTGGCCTTCCGTGTTGTCTTGTGCACCATCCACCTCTGCTTTAGCAGGGTCTATAGGGCTGCTGTCATCTTCCCTGGCTGCAGCTTCCTCTTGACTAGAACACTGTGGGAGCTCCTGATTTTCCTGGACGAAGAAAGGCCCAAATATCAGAACTGACTTGGGACCAATACTGTCCTCTGCTATTCCTCCCCAGAGGGAACGAAGAGAAAACTATATAGCCCAGATCCCACCCCAGATCACTTAGTGACACAGCTCAATCAGGGGGCAGACATAAGGCGCATTTCCTATCTCCTGTCCACACAGCATCGGCAACAAAGGCATGCCCAGCTTGGGAGAAGTTAGGAAACTTCCCTAGGCAAGGACAGAAAAGTGTCTAGGGGGAGAGGTGCCTTGGGCAATGGCAAAAAGAGGGACTGCAAGGGGTAGCACCAGTCCCCTCCTATCCAGATTATTCCCTAGTAACCGGTTAAGGGAAACCAAGGCATGCAATGAGGGTAGATCCTGTCACTCAATTCTTCTTCTCATCCTCACTGCCATCAGGAGCCACCTGCAATTGCCCCACCTCAGCTCCAGAAGGACTTTTGGTAGGGCTTTGGCACAGGTCGTTCACAGGCCTGCCAAGTCACCTTGTGCTCCAGAGGTATAAGTTACCTTTGTCAAATAAATGAGGGACAAACTATTCCTTTTACGAGATTTTGGATGAAAAATCTGAAAAAGACAAAATCATTTGGGAAAAAAAAAATTTCAATCCTGTCTCTAGCCTTTTAAAGAATTTTTCCCCCCCCGGGAGAGAGATATTTGAAAATGGATCCAGAGATAAATCCAATGACGTATTTCTGCGAATTGACCTAAAGAACTCCTCTATATCTACACCCAGAGTCCACAGATCAAAATGTTCACCTTGTTGTTTACCCCCAAATCCTATCCCCCCAAATTGGTAGACAGATGAAAAAGGGGAGCATACAACTGGGAGAAAACAATGAGGTGAGGAGAAAATGGATGTGAGTTTTCTGTCTCTAACCTGGGGAGTTGGGGTTTTCTCCAGCGCTACACCAATACTACAACCGTGACTTTTCATGAGCCCAGGGCAATGTCCACACGGGAACACACAGCTTTGTAAAGCAAAATTTGAGTGAAAATCCAATCCCTGTTCCCCCGCTGGCTGACACTGGAAAGTGTCAGATTGTTTTTTCCCATTTCAGATTAGGCTGCAATTAGAAGTCACTCCGGGCACTTTGGTTCAGTATTAGCATTCTCAATACTGTAATAGTGATCTCAAACGATCACTGAAATCACTAGAGGTGCTCTGACTTCAGGAGATCATCTAAGCTCTGCCTTTTAAAAAACATTCAGCCATTACTATACTTTATTCCTTCTCCAGGGTGGTGGAAGCTGGGAAAATATGAGTGTCCAGGGTTTACATGCAGAGGAAAAATATGGGGTGCAAATGGAGAGGAAACTGCTCCCCACAGGTGCCCAGGCATTCAGTGCTAAACTCCACACTCAAGGGTGAACCTCTGAGCCCCAAATACTCTCTGCCGGGAAAGCCAGGGCCTGAAGCCCATCTCTCTGTGTTCTGTTCCCTTGTTTTCAAAGAAAGGCAGAAATACCTATCTCCCTCCCGAGAGTGCCATCTCAACATTTTCCCCAACACCTCTTGCCTCTTATCTGCAGCACATATGTATTAGAAACTTATGTATAAGACATAGTGCAGGAATATGAAATCACCTCCATTCAGGGATCAAATGGAGCTGCCTTTGCACGAGGATCTGTGCTGGTGCTGAAAGGCCAGCAGCTTGAACGAACAAAAAGCCAGAGAGGAGAAGTTGTCAGGCCCTCTTCCCAGGCTCCGACCCAAAGCCTATAAACCCATCTAAATTGTGTGGTCCAGGGGCAGTGGGCCAATTCCTTTCTAGTTCTATTCCTTTCTAATCTCTCTCAACTAGATGTGACTAAGAACTAGAAATAAGATAAATGTAATACATAAACTTCTGAACCATGCCTGAAATACATAACTTTTTTTTTTTTTTTGCAGTTTTTGGCCGGGGCCGGGTTTGAACCCGCCACCTCCAGTATATGGGGCCGGCACTCTACTCCTTTGAGCCACAGGCACCGCCCAATACCTAACTTTATCTTTACAAAGTAACATTCTTAGCAAAGAATACAACCACTAGTGACTCCGTTTCTTCTTTCTCAGGAGCCAAAGTAGGAGAAGTAACGTGGGGCTCACTCCCCACGTTTGCCCACAAAACAGCCAAACGAAGCGTCCCGAGCGAGCCGAGTGAGTTGAATTTTACCTGTGACAACTCTGGTAGATTATGCTTGGTGCCTTCAGTAGCCATTGACTCTACGTGTTCCTTTAATCTAGGGTGAGGTGCCAACAGCTTCAGGATATCGGGAGAATGTTCGTGAGACTCCCCCGAGACTGATGGTGAAAAGAAACTAAGAAGAAGCTGTGACATAAAACAGAAGACTTCACTACTTAAGTTTCTACAGGTGCTCAGGTGAAGGGGAGGGGGGCAGGAGGGGGCAGGGGCACAGCTTGCAGGGCCAAACTCCGGGGAGGATGCCTTGGACCAGCATCCCGCGATACGCCAGGGCAGGGGTCCTCACTTCAATATGCATCAGAATCACCAGGGAGCTTACGGAAAAATCACTGGGCGGTTCCTAACTCCCACTTCCATGTCCCTCCCCTAAGTCTGAAGTATGGCCCGGGAATCTGGATTTTGAGATTTTCTTTTCTTTTTTCTTTCTTTCTTTTTTTTTTTTTTTTGCAGTTTTTGGCCAGGGCTGGGTTCGAACCCGCCACGTCTTGCATATGAGGCTGGTGCCCCACTGCTTTGAGCCACAGGCACCGCCCCAGGAATCTGGATTTTGAGAAGGCACTACACACACATGCCTTTGTCACCTAGCCAAGGTCAAGAGCCACTACTCTGGGGCTGCCATTCCACAGAGATATCTACAGTGGGATTTAAAAATCCATCTAGGAGGAAAGAGACAGAGAGGTGAAGTCAGGAGAGAGACCTCAGTTGGGAAACCTGGGGTGTCCATAACACCCCAGTGGGTAGAAGTCTACAAATGTCTCCTAGGTTCCTCACTGTTTCTTTTCTCTGCCTGCTCATTTTGCTTTCTCTTCCCCCCACCGTCAGTCACCCTTGGATCTTTAACCCCTTCAGAGCAGGGAACCTGAGCACTAGTGTTAGGAACAGCAGAAACCAAACGTCTTCCCTCTTCTCCCAGCCTCACCTCCCCCATTTCGGCCTTCACTTCCCAGAGAATGTTAGGTTAAGTTCAAGTACTGGGGGCAGGCAGATTCTGATCTATTGCTGGTTTCCCTTGCAATTGGACAAGCTGGGAGGGTTGAGTAAAAAGAACCAAAAAGGATGGGGGTGGGGGGGTCAAACATGTGCAGATTTGCGTTCTAGAGCAGACTTCACCATTAGCTGTCCACTTCCTTGCTTCAATTTTCCCCAGTGCCAGCAGGGATTATGAATATGTGGGGCGTGTGTGTGTAGCATAACATGTAATAGAAGACAGGTCACTTAGCTTCTAAAACATGCTCAAGTGTTTACCACCGGACAGCCCCTACAGAGTTTGGAGACCCACTGAAGGATTCTCTAACCGTGGTTCAGGGGACATAAGTCAGGGTATTCGTTCACCAGTGGAATTTGACAGAACACCAAGCTCCAGTTTGATTTATTCTCTGGCTGGCCTCCAGCAGTGTCTTCGTGACATTCCCTCAGATGCCAGCACTTGCCATGTAGCCAAACCCTGCTCAGCCTTCAAAGCCCTGCGCAAGTGCCGCCTTCCCTTACTATTCCAGTGTCCCTGCTCTCTCCTGTCCTTTCATGTTCTCTGCTGCACCACAATATAGCATCTTACATGACACCATCTTATGTTATCTTGAAACTGCGCCACAAATGTAAGGCTTTCTCTCTGGCCAGATGGCCAGCTTCTAGAAGGGACATAACAGAGATGCTCCATAAACACTCATGACACCAGATGGAATTGAATTAAGACACTTATCCATCTTGGGGCCCAGGGAGAGGCCTAGCATTCAGACCCAAAGTCCTCAGATAGATCCCTGTGTTTCCTGTCAGCTCTAGGAAACCTACTTTCCAGGTATGAGTTGGCATAGAAGTGAGACGGGGGAGGTGCTCACAGTGCCTGGGGCCATCAGAAACACCTTTCAGAGGTCTCTCCTCCACAGGAGCCCCACTGAGTGGCCCAATAGGACCAACCCACTTCTGAGATAGCCTCCATGGAATTCTCCCCAAAAGAGGATGACACGTCCAGTGGCAGCTACACAGCATCCCAAGGTACAAGAATGAAAAGGCAAAGGGTGGCAGGAGGGAGAAGGAAACCAAGGGGAGAAATCAAAGAAAATAAAGCAGAAATAACAGCAGCACTTTCCTTCCTTGCTTTACTGCCTAAGAGCTCTAGGCCATCTCAGTAGCTTTGGAAAACAAAAGTTGGGGTCAACTCTCAATGAGAGTAATCATTCCACAGAATTGAAAGTCAATTTCACTTCAATGTCAGCCTTAGAAAGGCCCAAAAAGGCCCAAAGGAAAAAAAAAAATAGAATCTGAGATAAAAATAAGCATTTTGTCAAAATCACTGGCTTGTGAGTGCTAAGGCAGGTTGTTAATGGCAAGTGAACCTGGACCATCTGTGTCAAATCTTTAACCCTGAAATTGGAATGATCAATAAATAAGCACAACTGAGGTCTCTCAGTGTTCTTAAATGGCTGCCATAACCTCATCACACTTAGTGGAAATAATATGCCTCTAAATTCTCATGCTAGCTTCAGAATGCCATAACACCAATCATGGGCATATGCTCGCTTGAATTGCCTGGTATTCATATTAACAAATCCAAGATTATAAGTAAGCTCCTTGGAGACTGAGACTATGGCCTATGCCTCTTTGGGAGTCCTGAGCTTTGCAAAACATCTTGCCATATCTTGTTAGGCCTTTGGGGAAATGACAACCGCTAGTCTATAAAAGTGCCCTGGAAAGAGAGGTTGACCCAACTGATGATTCCAGAACTTCTCAGGCCAAATGGGAAACGCACAAACAGGAGTAAAGAAACCATTCATCCTTTGGCCAGGGACCTGACCCCATCCGCCAGCCTTTGCACATTCTGTCCTTAAAATCAAAGTTTTTCTAATGGCCTTTGTTCATTCCATAACTAGATAATTCCATTGCTACTTTTGACTCAGCCCCACCAGTGAGTGCTGAGACCCTGGACATGGCCTCCTGGGACAGTAGGATGGTAGAGAAATTAAGACCAGGCTTTGGAAGAGAGAGTTTAGTTTGAATGCTTTCCTACCAATCATTAGCTGCATGATCTCAGGAAAGTAACCTGTTTCATCTACACATGGGGAGGGTTGAAATTATATCCTCCACACAAAGTACCTAGCACAGGGCCTGATACAGAGGAAATTGTCAACAAATGTTAGCTAATCTTCTTTTTATTACTACATATTACTATTACTCATACCATGGACTACACTTGAGATGTGAGGAAGGATCCACAGCTTGGAGCAATTCTGCCCGACCCAGGCTCTTCTCAAGCACACCTTGTCCACATACTCAAACCAGTTCAATGCAACTTCTCAGAAAGGAAATCCTCTGTGAGAGACACAAAATCCAGAGCCCTCTTTCTCCTAGTTCATAGATTTTACTAAAGATTCCTTTTTAGAGCCTTCAGAAACCAGATACATCTCTTGTTCACTTTTTCATCCACTGCTCCAGCAAACCAAACTGGGAAAGAAGCCTTGGGGCCTGGTGACAAATAAGAGGCTGGAGCACAAGAAGAGTGGAGATGACTGTTAGCACCCAACTTCCCAACTTCCCGGCCAACTCGCCAGACACCAGGAGGGAAAATTGCAAAACAATGAACAACAAAGCCCGCAAATTGAGGATGTGCGAACTCTCACTCCTGTGCTCAGTATTTCATGCACTCTTTATTTTGGTTAACAATCACATTCTCCTGGGATGTGAATGACTGTTTGGATTATATTAGATTAACAGTCACTGACTTGCATTTGTGAAATGGCACATTTTATTGCTAACAAAGGAGCTCTGTGTATGGCAGGGGAGGTGGGACCACCAATATCCCTTCCCAGGAGCTGGCTGCCCAGCACAGTAACACTGTGATTCAGCCAAAGAAAAGGTATACAACTGTAGGCAGCCACACGCCCCAGATCAATAGCCAGAATCTCCTCAATGAGCCTCAATTCCCATGTTAACTTACTTGGTTTGAGTTTTTATTCCACTGATAACTCAGACCCTGAGTCAAAGAACCAAGAACATTCCTCACAGGCTCCTGCAAAAACACAGGGAACTGCCCGATCTGATTATACCCACCAGGAGGATGGTGTTGCTGAGCAATAAATTAGCACTTGTGTCTCCCTCTCCATCTCTTCTACCCAGGGACTCACCCCACTCAGGACCCCAAATGCCAGGGAAGGCAGCACCTTCATTTCCATCCCTAGAGAAGACAGGGAGGTGAGGGTCCATTAGGCAGATGGACCTACTGTCTTTTCAACTCACCCTTTGGGCTTCAGATCGTGCTCTTTTGTTCTTTCCATCAAGGGACACACAATAGAGAAACTCCCTCAGTGCTTCCTCCACCTTGCCTAGGGTGGCTAATGCTTGGGCTTTTCTAAAGTGTGCCTGGAAGAAAACAGTAGCATTCAGCCTCATTCGTTCACCATATTAAGGGTGCTACTATTAATAACAATCATTAGTTGCTGAGCACTATTGCATGAAATGTTTTAAAAAGGACGCTTTATCTACAGCCATAAAATGTGAGCAACCATTCTGAATTCCTTTTATTTATTTATTTATTTATTTATTTTTTTGAGACAGAGCCTCAAGCTGTCCCCCTGGGTAGAGTGCGATGGCATCACAGCTCACAGCAACCTCCAACTCCTGGGCTCAAGCGAGTCTCCTGCCTCCACCTCCCAAGTAGCTGGGACTACAGGCGCCCACCACAATGCCTGGCCATTTTTTTTGGTTGCAGCCATCATTGTTGTTTGGCGGGCCCGGGCTGGGGATTCGAACCCGCCACCGTAGGTGTATGTGGCTGGCGTCTTAGCCGCTTGAGCGAGCCTATTTATTTATTTATTTATTTTTAGAGACAGAGTCTCACTTTGTCACCCTCGGTAGGGTGCCATGGTGTCACAGCTCACAGCTCTTGGGCTTAGGCGATTGCCTCAGCCTCCTGAGTAGCTGGGACTACAGGTGCCCGCCACAATGCCTGGCTATTTTTTTGTTGTTGTTGCAGTTTAGCCAGGGCTGGGTTTGAACTCGCCGCCCTCAGTATATGGGGCCAGTGCCCTACTCACTGAGCTACAGGCGCTGCCCTTCTGAATTCCTTTTAAAGAGGACAAAACTGAAACCCCAAAATTAACATGCCCAAAGTAACACAGCTGGTAAATTGTGGAATCAGAGTGTGAACCCGGGACTGACTGAGAGCAAAGCCCGTATTCTTAACCTCTGTACCATGCTACCTTGTCTCTGCCTTGCCAATGTATGGAGGCACCACCAAATTTAGAGACAACCCCCAAGAACCACATACCTGAAAGGCAGTACTGATGCCTTCCTTTGAATCAGTGTGTTAGAGACCTGGTCCTCAGTGGTTTGAGTGAGTATCTAAACGTACTTACTGATCATTGTTCAGAAGGGGGCAAGAGAAGGGACATGACCTCTCCAAAACCTCAAAGGTAGTTAGTAGCAAAGCTAGAACTAGAACTGTGGTGCTAGGACTTCCAGAATCTCCTTCCCCACAAAGCAGACTGCCCTTCTGAGGGTGAAGCGGGAGTTGCGCAAATGTTTTCATTCCTGGAGGCTCAGTTCATTTCTGCTCCCTCACCATGTCTCTTAAAAGTATTATGAAGTTTATGGCCCCTCAGGGTTCAAGTCTAACTGTCTTCGAAGAGACATACTAGGTAGAGTGAGGGAACATCCTGGGGAAGAGGGAAGAAAATGAAAAAAGAAGGGGAAAAGGCTGTCTTGTGTGCTTTGGGACTGGTGGCCATTTGCAACTTGGCTTGGAGGACATTTCACTTGAATCATGTGGGCCACGTCTTAGTACCTGGCTCCCCACTCCCTTGCCTCCATGGCTGAGCCTAAGTCTACCTGAGTGAAAGAAATGATCCAGGTTGCAACTGCTGGGCACGCCCCTGCCTCTCCTCCTAACAGGACTCTGCAGGCCCCAGAGCCCTCAGACTGTGCTGAAGAAGCTGCCTTCTCAGACAGTGGTTGCTACTCCAAAACTCCTGGGATTCCATCCCCATGCTCCCATCTCCTTCTGGAGCCTAACTGTGGCTGATACATGGATGCTAATGTCTTCCTTGATGCTCCTCCAGCAGCGTTTAACAGGGTCTTCTGGAGAAAGGTTTGCATAACATCTCAGCACAGCTAGAGGGCATAAGTGTTGGGAGATTGACTGGAGAGGCTTCTGGGATCCCAATAATCATACCACATAGCAGCACCCAATATATTCTACCTTCTCAAGGCACCAGCTCATTCCACCTATAGCCAGCTGTACCATCTATAACAGTGGTTCTCAACCTGTGGGTCGTGACCCACAGGAAGAATGAAGGGTTGCGGCATTAGGACGGTTGAGAACCACAGACCTACCACTGAGCCCTGGCTGAATTAGCTGGAATAGGGCTGCCAGGTGAACCCCTTCCTTTGGGGCATTTCACATAAAAATGGTGGGAATTATGAAAATCATCCTATAAGTTGGTTCTGAAGTACAGTAGAGCCTCCATAGTTGACCACCGCCCTTCTTTGACCACCTCCTTAAGTGGACCTAATTTTCATAGACTGGACATGCACCAGATGTATGTATCAGTATAGTAGGCCTAGTTCCTTATGTTTAACCCCTGTGTACGTTGACCAGTTTGTTACAGTTCCTTGGGTAGCCAACTTACAGAGGTTCTACTGTATATGCATCAGTTCAAGTCTTCTCTCAACCCCTAAGACAAGTTCTCTTATCACTGCCCCTACCCCTTACCCCACCACTATGGAGAAATGAAACTCACGTTTAATTTATTTCCACCAACTCTTCCTTCACAGAGAAGTCACTTTTCCCATTTCATCCAAAATGCTCCATTCCTTCTCAGCCCTGCTATCAAGGCCCTACACCATAGGCTTGGAGTGGGAGTGGAAAAGAGTTGCAAGGAAATTCCTCTTACCCCCAGGTGGCTCTGACTTGCCTTCTCAGACAGTGGTTGCTACTCCAAAACTCCTGGGGTCCCATCCCCATGCTCCCATCTCCTTCTGGAGCCTAACTGTGGCTGATACATGTCGTGAGGCCTAAAATGCCCTTCCCTTCCCCCCCTCCCCGCCTGAAGCTCCCTTGGGTTAAGAAATTGGTGACTTGCATTAAACTGTAAATGTGTTCCTTGGGGAAAAGAACATACTGATCTATCATTACTCATGAAAACCTTCTCATGCGTTCACCTGACATTAATGACAGAATATATTATACTTTACCTGAAGTTCCTAATTCCTAAAAAATTCTGATAATCCAGTATTTGCATAAGCTTGCTCAAAAGTCATTAGGTGACAAAACCTGACCTAAACTGATGTGAAGTAAAATATTCGTCCCACTTACTGTGAACAGTCGGGTCATTTTTTACAGAAATAGTGTATTTGATTATGGAAGGCTATCCAGAGCTCATTGAAGATACTATCTTACACATGGTCTTTTCAAAATCTAAACCATTCTGGTCCCATGAGATTCAGTTAAGGGATCATGGACCTGAACCTGGACAAGTTTTCCCAGGAAGGCATCCTTGGGTTGTGCAGACAGCACATTACATCAAGACCCACAAACTTTATATAACTTGTAGAATGCCCTCTTGGCCATGTTCATCCTTGATCCTCACTGCAAACAAGGATATTTTTGGTTCAGCGAGTAAAGACACTTCCCCATGGTCACTTAGCTTGTAAGTATTATAGTATAGAACAGGCTTAAATTTAATCTTCTGAACAAAATATTGACATGTGGCTGAGGGCCAGTCCTGAGGCCAGGCAGCAATGCAGAAAGTGACACTTTGCATCCTGGCATCCTGAGAGACGCTGAGGCTGTCTTTCTTTCCACTCACCCATGTGACCTAAATGCTTGGGGATATCAGCAAGCCAACTGACTATATTAAGGACTTCAAATGGCACAACCATTGTGTGAGTATGAGGATCTCTTTAAAGAAAGCTGGCTATGCTCCCAAGGAGACTGGCTGTTAGTAGAAGTCCAAGAAAACAGGCCAGCAATTCTTCTCCCACCCTCCTCTTTCTAATGTTCCTGGAAAATGATGATGATGATGATGACTGTGATAGAAAACATATACAATGGTATGTGCCAGGCACTGTTCTAAGCACATTATATATATATTAGTTCATGTAATCCTGACAAAAACCCTTTCTAGCAGGTGCTTTGAATATCCCCATTTTACAGATCAAGAGATGAATCACTTAAGTGATAAGGCTACACAACTAGCAAAAGTAACAAGGCTGAGAAATAAACCCAGGCAGTCTGGCACTCTGCATTCTGCAGAGTCTCAAAGCCCAGGCTGCTCTGCAGGTCATCAGTTGAAGATTGAAATGGGGAAGAACCCAGGTCCCTTGAAGATCTGAGTCATCCTTTGCCAAGCCCCCCCCAACTCTTTTGCAAAGTCTTCTTCTTGCTCTGCTTGAGCTCAAGAGCCCCTACCCCCCTCCCCCACACACACACAGGGAGGCAGCCCTTCCTGCCAAATCCCTTCTACTGTCCAATTCCTTCCCATCTCTCCCATCCCACACTCACCTTAAAACCCTTTGGGCGGAGCTTACATGCTATTTCTGCATCATGTAGTGCGTCCTCATGAGACTCCAAGGTGAAATAAATTTGAGACCGGTTACTATAAAGCAGGTGGTCATTTGGAGCTGCCAAAATGAGAGCGAGAGGGAAAAAAACCCTTATTAATGGCTCCCAGTACAAACACGTGATGAGCCCTGAGAAAGGGTGGATCTTGAGCAAATAATAAGTTGTCTAGGACTTTTCTATGGAGCATCCAAAGGGCTTGGGTTCTTATTTACAGTCCTCATGGTGCCCAACCACTCTGGGTGGCACCTTCCCCAACCATGGGCCCTGTAGTATCAGCAGTACATTAGAGATTTTGACATAGAAGAATCCCCAGCACCCTGCTTCATAACTACACATGGCCTGTGCCTGGCAGACAGGTTTTGGAGTGAGGTATCACCAACAAGAAAATAGGCCAAGGAGGAAGGAGAAAGGTGACCAGAAGTGACCCCTAACTGGACCATCAGGAAGAGACAAATCAAGTTAGTCTTCTAGATTGCGATGACTGGTGACATTAGCAACATCTCTTTCTTTTTTTTTTTT